GGGTGTAGAATCATTCCCTGACCACCAGCGGACTGAGTACTGGCTTAAGCACCAGCTGTCCGATCCCTCCTGATGTTAATCTCAGAATAATAGTAATTCTGTAGAAACTCAACTGTGGCATGGGAACGGTGCGGTGGCTGATCAAACCTCACTTCAGAGGTGCCCTTGGGTGTGTCCAAGACATGCAGAGTCTGTCGGTGAATTCCAAGCCTGCATGACCCACTGAGCCCCAGGTGGAGCACGCTGGAGCACGAGCGATGGGGTTTGGCGGGTTGGGTGCCTACCGAGATAGACTCAGGGATCTTCAGAAGGGGGGACGCATGCAACGGGGGAGAGATTTGACCCCTTTCAGCCCCCACTGTCCATGTCCGTGCCGGCGAGGGAGATCGGTGGAGGCTGAATGGGACAGTCTGGCGGCTGCGGTGCCTAAGCAAAGAGGCTCACAAGGGTGGAAATAGGGTGCTGCAACAAAGAGCAGAGAGAGGGGAGCGATTCCAGCCCCCGCCGTCGCGGGTTGCAGGCCGTCCGCACACAAGCGCCCGCAGGGGGGGAGGGGGGTCTCGGTGGGTGTTTCAATGTTGACTGGGAGGTGCGTAAACCCCCTGCCAGATAGTCAGAAGGGCCGAAAAGGAAGTATTTCCCACGACGGACGGTAGGCCAGCCTACCGTCCGTTCCATATGGGTAGCGTAAAACTACGGCAAGTACAGCGTCCAGGCACAGAGCGATGGGAAGTACATACAGCTACCCCTCTAAATAAAAATAAAAATTTAGGTTTAGAAAATAGTGACAATCTCCCTTTTGGTATTTTTGAAGTCGATGTTACTAGTCCTGAGAATATTAAGATACCATTACTTCAAACAAGAATAAAAGTAGGTACAGGCTATAGAACTATCTCACCTATAGGTAATTGAACTGATCATTACTTTTCAGATGAACTATATAATGCAGCTAAATATGGTTACACTTTTAAAATAAAAAGAGGTTATTTATTTGAAAAAGGTGAAATATTTAGTGAATATGTAGATTTTTTCTATGATTTAAAAAAAAAGTAAAAAAGGAATATCAGGAATTGGAAATGGCCTGAAGTAGCCGCGATGCTCAAGACGTCTTGCTTCTCGCTCAGCATCACCTGCCAGAAGCATTACATGGCACTGGTCCATGATCTCACCCAGCACCCACCTCCCTCCCTCCTCAGTGAGGATGTTCACTCCATCAAAGTGGTCAATGATCATCCGCGCCCATTCCAATACTCTCTCCAGCCACGTCTGCATCCGCTCGTCACACATGAACCTCAGAGTGTCCAACTCCGACCATACTCTTCGAACGACTCGCGGGGGGATCGGGTCCGGCAACCTCATCGCCAACATCACTCACACAAGGTGGCACTTGATGGCCTCAGCCTCCAGTTCCGCTGGTGGCAAGCATTAGCATTATTTCCAGGCAAGTGCCATATCTATATCTATCCGTACTTACTGACTCCATCTCGGAGACCTCTGCCATGCGCAAGCTGGCAGGCTATCAGTAAGATATCACAGAGCATGCACATATGTATGCATTGAAACTCACCTGCACCGCTGGATCGTCAGGGTCTCTGGGCATGGTAGCCATGGGGAGAATTGGCTGAGAAGTAAATTGGTCTCTCTTCTCAAGGCCTCGCTCTTTATAAAATATTACTGCGGCCATGCGTTGGCCTCATGTGATGCTGTGCACTTACGGCATAGCTGGCTGGCTGTCCTGAAGGGCCGGTCCTTGCATCGCCGTAAAATTACGGCCTTGTCATCTGCAGCATCGCGCAGCATGTGCGCACCATAAAACTACGCCCTGACTTGAGACTACCGTTATTGTCTACTTAACCGTTGGACGTACATAACCTCCGCTCTCCAGCCCCCACGCCTCTTGCTCAGCATCCCCAGACAGCGAGAGGAGACAGCAATGCTCCGTGGTCTCTGCCAGTACCCATGCCACCCCTTCCGGAGTCAGGATGTCATCTCCGTTCAAGTGGGTCTCCAAGAGCTCCCATGTTGCTGAGTTGATACTCGTGCCGTGACTCACCAGCAATGTCACACAGGCCACGCTTCTAGGCTATCTACGCTCCAGTGAGTCCTGGACTGCTGCAATGCCAATGGTTTGATCCAAGGTGACATACCTTGATGGCTGGGTCGTTGGGATCACTCGGGATAGTCGTCAATGCAGCGATGGAGGACATCGAAGTAGCTTGTGGAAATGGATTGCCTCTGTCGCTTGCACGTCCTCCTATTTACATCTCCCTGTACCATGCCTCACAACTACCTCATGGTAGTCTGTTACAAAGCATTCCCATGACATCATCGATGTGTCAAGCTGCTACTGCAGTTATTTGCCGTAATTTTACAGTGGGACATACCCATTGAAGACCCCCATTGCACCCTCAACCTGATCCCTGTTGTGTAAACAGACATGGGCCGTAAAGTTACGGTAGGTGTTCCCACGCTCCTTCCTAATCTGGTAACCCAAAGCCAGCTCTAACCCTAGGCATTTAGTAAATCACCTTATAAATTCGACGAGAAGGAGGATTGTTTGTACGAACATCTATCCTTCGGTATCGAGTGTGTCCACCCTTTTCCTGTCGCGACGGTTAATCTGATTGGTTCGTAGCATGGACTTGTGCGTGGCCATCCTCGGCGCGAACGGCGCGGGCAAGTCGACCCTCCCCCACCTTGTCATGGGCGTCCTCCGGCTGTGAGAGGGCACCGTCTCGCGGCACTCGTCACTCAAGCTCGCCAAGTACTCACAGCACTCGGCCGCCCAGCTGCCCTATGACAAGTCGCCCATCGAGTACTTCCAGCAACTGTTCCATATGGGTAGGTCTTTGCATCGCCGTAAAATTATGGCCTTGTCGTTTGCAGGATTGCGCAGCATGTGCCTACCGTGAAATTACGCCTCAATCTGAGACCACCGTTATTGCCTACATAGCCATCAGATGTACATAACCTCGGCTCTCCAGCCCCCGCACCTCTCGCTCAGGTGACCTCCCGCGCCGCTCGCGCCGCCTGAGGGCTTTCCTGCGTATAGCAGTCCTAAGTAAATAGTGACTACAAATGAGCTCTAGGGAGGAGAATAAACTATTCAAAAAAAGTTACTGCTTCTACATCTAAGAGAAATGAGCGTGTTCTGATGGACTTTTGACAATGGAAGACAGAAAAAGATATAAAAATGTAAAATGCACAGCCGCACCTTGAACTCTCGCCCACAACATAAATCACTAACACTTTAACCATTAGACTGCGAGGGAATAAATATTTGGTGCTATTTAGTGATTATGTATTGCACAGCAAGGCAAATTTGCATTAGTGTAAAGGGTGCTTCTCAATTTGGTAGTCGATGCCGGAGGCCCGGATCACGTGATTTACCTGCCTGATATGCGCGTCTTTGGTCATGTTCATCGGAGGGCGAAGTAGCAAAAGCAGGACCCCTGAAAATACCGATAGATGCCGGTGCCAGTCCGGACAAAAAAAGCGGCTCGGGCAAGGGACGCCGGAGCCAGTCCGGACGTAGGTAGGGGTCTCAGCCGGCCAACCCGGTTTTTTAGTCCGGACACCAACGGCACCCCAGCAGTGAGGCCGGTTGTATCCGGACATGGTCAGCAACCCGCCACTTCGTCGCGACTAGTACATTATCATTAGATTCATTACCCCGTATGGTATTTCTCACCGAATAAGGATAGACATGCCTCCCCTGTAGTCATGAACCCTCGGGTACCCCTTAGTTGCACGGAATTATACAGTTTACGCTGAAATCCGGAGGCACACATGGAAGACACAGCTGGGTGCCGGATGGCTCCAATATCGCTGCGGTATCATATCTCGCCATCCAGGGCTACGAAGCCATGAACGGGCGGGTATTTCGCACTGTCTCTCAGACCCTGGCAATGCTCGCTGCCTGCCGAATCACTCAATTTGCCTGCCACGTCTATCCTTTGCATGCTGGAGACAAGCCTGAAGGCTCTTCCGTTATCTATTGAACTTTCTACCTCAGACTATGCACGTTTCAGGTTTTCATACACCCGAGTATATATATCTAGTGTCTAGAATGACTTGTGGACTACAACGGGTGATTTTTGCTGTTTCCTAGAGGCCGGGGCAATAGTCCGGACGTGAATCTGACCTTGGCCGAGGCCGGTATTTTATCCGGACATAAAGGCGGGGGGCCGCCAGAAAAAGTCCGGACATGACAAAATCGAGTCTTGCACCGGCATCTATCGGTATTTTCAGGGGTCCTGCAAAAGCGGGTAACCTCCGTATTTTTATCAGACAATACCTGCCGTAATAACTGATTTATTGAAATATTTTCGCCTGCTTACATAATCAAGCATGGCACCGTGGAATGTACACTACGTCATAGTTCTGACAAGAACTAATTGTCACGACAGCACAATTCGCACATGCAGAGAAATTATGTGCAGCGCACAGTGGACTGTCGAAGTGCTCGTTGCATGATGTTCATAAGTTTTGCATATGTGGACGTGCCGACAACAACTTCATACGAGAACTGTCTGGCTGTGTATGACGCGGCGCCCGACACGACGACAGACGATCAGTCGCGGCTGTCGAGGGCGGCGCACGCGAGCGATAAGTGGGTGTTCGGAGAGTCGCGGAGATGTGTGGCGGAGCCATCTCTGGCCAATCACGTGCGAGGTAATGAACACAGCAATTGCCTATTCGGGGATCCATCGGTGAATGTTGCTCGCTCAGCGTGCAGGACGTCCTCAGGCTCTCCTTTCACGGTCATCCGCCCCCCTCGACGCCGTCTGCCACGGCGTTCAAGGCTATATTCGACATAGCAAACGCAGGAACTCGCTCACGCGACTGGGAACGAGAGAGATAGACGCGCGTACGGCAGGTGAGTGGAAAGGGAAGTTGCTTATCTCTGGGAGCCATGCTAAGCTCCAGCCGCAGACTGTGGCTTATCTCCCGCATCAACGCCTTTACATAGCGACCGCCGACGTTCAACATGTCCCACGGCTCTTATTCATCCGACCATTCTGTCATGACAGAAGACGAGGAGGACTGGGAGGATTACTGCAAGGGCGGATACCACCCTGTACACATTGGCGACACTTTCTCTGACGGCCGATATGTCGTCGTTCGCAAACTCGGCTGGGGTCATTTCTCTACCGTCTGGCTGGCGAAAGATACAAAGTGCGTACAATGTTTCATTTTGGGCCGGAATTTGTTGCTGCGCCCGGAATATTTCGATAAACGGTGTTCTGGGACGCTGGAGCGGTGCGATTAGATGCGGGGAGCTTTCAGAGACTCGGGGGAGGAGGACGTCCGCTACGGCGTGGATGAACCCTCTCATCAGGGTATGGGGAGTGGTCGGTTGCATCGGACTCGATGGTGCGGGATAAGTGCGGCAAGTACGCTCGATTTCGATCTCGTACGCTCACCTCGCGCTGTCTGCGGGCTCTTCTGAAACGTGAGCGATGCGAGACTCTGCCTCGGCTTCAGCGAGCACCCTCAGACCGTCGGCAGAGGCAGATCGCCTCGATGTATCTGGCACGCACGCCCTTCGGCGAGGAGGCTGGCCTTTGGTCGCAGATCCCTTGACTGCGCGAACGAGAGCCCGATCCCGCAAGCCCCGTTTCAGATCAGTTCGCTCGCCTTCCCAGCGGTCGATTTACCCTGTACCAGATCTCCTCAGCTGACGCTATAACGCAACCTTTCTTTTCTATGAACTAACAGGATGAACCGCCATGTCGCTCTCAAAGTCGTTAAATCCGCACCCCGCTACACCGAAACCGCGCTGGACGAGATCAAACTCCTCCAGCGGCTCATCACCTCCTCCACGCCGCCCGTCGAGCCCACGCCCGAAAACCCAAACCCGCCACCCTCACCCGCGCAGACGCACCCGGGGCGCTCGCACGTCATCTCCTTCCTCGACCACTTCCGGCACAAGGGCCCGAACGGCACGCACGTCTGCATGGTCTTCGAGGTGCTCGGTGAGAACCTGCTCGGGCTCATCAAACGCCACCAGAACAAGGGCGTGCCCATGCCGCTCGTGAAGCAGATCGCGAAGCAGATATTGCTGGGCCTCGACTACATGCACCGCTGCTGCGGCGTCATCCACACCGGTGAGTCTGCCGAGACCGCGCATCCTAGCCGTAGCCTTCACACCCCGAGTAGTAGTGCACCCCGGAGTGGGCGACTGATATGCTAATGCCGTCTGTATGCTGCTGCAGATCTCAAGCCGGAGAACGTGCTGATCTGCATCGACGACGTCGAGTCGCTTATCGAGGCGGAGTTGGCCGCGTCATCCGCGTCCAACTCGGCGCCCCCGACGAAGCTCATCGGTGTCCCGCCCTCCAAGGGTCGTGGGGGCAACCAGACACCGCGCTCCGAGTCCGTCTTTATCACCGGCTCACAACCGCTGCCATCGCCGTCCTCGTCCTTCGGCTCGTCCTCCGTACTGGACAAGTGGTCGTTCGGCATGAGCAAGATTGACGACGGCGGCGCGAGCAAGCCTGCGAGCGTCGGCAGCGCCAAGGCGTCGGGATTCGAGTCGGACAAGGAGGGACCCAAGCGGGAGGACTCGACGGAGCAGGCGGCAGAGAAGATGTCTGGCGTCACGCTGGACACTGCAGATTTTGGCAAGAGGACGCCTCCGCCAGCTGGGAGCCAGGCGGGGCCATCGCTGCTTAGCCAGCAAGCTCCGACGAATATTGCGGCGGGTGAGCCTGGTGGTGAGGCGCCGGCAGGGCGGGAGAGGAGTATGCCAATGCCCTCGACATCCACTTCCACTGACGTGCCTCTCTCGAGCTCAGCCATGTCACAGGACTCCATACCAAGCCGGGATACAACCGTGTCGAGTATCTACGAAGCGAACGAGAAGATCACCGTGAAGATCGCTGACCTTGGAAACGGTACGGTGCAACGTTTCATTTCGAGCTTGTTTCACTTAATCCCCAAGTCTGTCCACTCACGGAAGTATTTTCCGTCAGCCTGTTGGGTCGAGCATCATTTTACGGATGATATTCAGACGCGGCAATACCGGTGTCCAGAAGTCATCCTTGGCGCCAAATGGGGGCCCAGTGCGGACATATGGAGTGTAGCTTGCGTGGTAAGCTCTCGCGTGCATCTTTCTGCTCGTTCCTGGCCGCTCTGTCAACCTTCTACTCTACGGCACCGAAACTCAAACTGATGACGATCCTGCCATGATCTCCCTATCTACAGATCTTCGAACTTTTGACAGGCGGTGACTACCTGTTCGATCCGGCGTCTGGCACAAGATACAGTAAAGACGATGACCACATAGCTCAGATCATGGAGCTTATGGGCGAGTTCCCCAAGAGCGTCGTGTTCTCGGGCAAGTACAGCCACGAGTTCTTTACGCGGAAAGGTGCGTCGAAGCCGGCGGTCTGCCTATTGACTGTAGGTCCCGATGGCTGATGTGCGCACGTGCCAGGTGAATTGCGGAACATTCAGAAGCTACGGTTCTGGCCGCTCGAAGCCGTGCTGCACGACAAGTATCTCCTGCCCAAGGAGGAAGCGGACACCATCGCGTCCTTCCTCACGCCCATGCTGCGGCTGCATCCTGAGAAACGGGCAAAGGCGAGCGAGCTGATACACCATCATTGGCTCGACGGGATCGTCGTTCAGGGCGAGATCGACGTGATCCGCCGGGTGGAAGAGCTGGAGGCGCAGCGGAGACGGATGCTCGAGGAGGCGTCGAAGCGCAGGTCGAGCGGATCGGAGAGCGAGCAGCCGCACGTGGAGGTCAAGGACGCCGACGCCATGAAGCCTGTAGACGACGTGGCTGCCATGGGCGAATCCTACTCGGCGGCAGCGCCGAAGCTCTCGACGCCAGTCCCCCCTTCATCGACGTCGAAAGAGAACGCCAATCACGCCGTCACCCTCGGGGCGCCGCCACCGGCGTCGTCGTCCAAGCCCGCTCGCGCAAAGAAATGATCGAATAGATGTTTATACAGCGGAACATGTATCGTTGCTTGCCACTGCACGCTTTCCCGGATCGGCTACGTTTCCCTTTTCCCATTCCACTCCACGACGCACACCCTACGGATTACCCTATTTACACGTCGCATTGTTGTTTTCCAGATGTTACCGATCACATTCTGCTTTGTAGCGTAGAACGTATCATGTATCGCGATTCGGTATAACTCCCGATGTATATGATATATGACGGCACGCGCCAATTATTTCCAACACCCTCTACATCATCCTGTCAGACTCACGAAGTCCTGTCAAGTAGGCGAAGCGAGAGCGCCGCTGACGCTGTGGATGTTCTGATCCCACTGTGTGGCTTCGCTGTCAGACTCATTGTCGTCGGCAGCAGGCCATGTTGTCCGACGAACGGAAGCCAGCTCCGTTCCCGACCCGAAAGCAAAGCAAAGCAGAGCGGATGTGGATGACATTGGCGTCGTTCTCGTGTATATATACAACGCGCGAGCCAGCTACACAGATACTACGGTATACGAGCGACGAGCGGCGTCTACCCGGTCGATATTACAGAAGCCAAAGGGAAAACTAGTAGATGGTACACTATATGCAGACAGAGCGTTAGCGGTGACAACAATAAGATACGAGCCGATTTTTGCACTGTGATATATAAGAATTGTATGAGGCCGTCCGTCCGTCCCAGGGAAGAACAAGACCGCAGAGAAAAAATAAACAAACAGGATGGACTATGCTGATCCCAAAGAGATTTGAACGAAAAGGCACCTTCACTGACGTCGCAGAACACCGACCCGATCGAGAGCATAGACACACAGGGAGCCCAGAGCCCAGAGGGGGAAAAGACAGACTTTTTAACATCAGCTGGCGAGAAGGCTCACCACGCAGAGACTAGCTGCGGCTCGCCTTCCCGCCAGTATCCTATTCCAACGGCAAGGGTGGGGTGTGGAGGGGCCCGTCCTCGAACTTCATCACCGAGGCCGGGCTGAGGCTGCCGAGCCCGTCGGGGAGGCCGTCGAAATAGTGCTGTTGCTGGTGGTGGTGGTCATGCTGCTGACTGAACAGCTGCGGCGAAGGGAGGTGATCGTGGGCTGCGGGATGAAGCTGCTGATGATGCGCCGCCGGCGGATAGTGGTGGAGAGGCCGAGGGGGATCTTGCAGCTGAAAGTACTGCCGCTGCTGGGCCTGGGCCTGGGCCTGAAGCTGCTGCTGCTGCTGCTGCTGCTGCTGCCGATACGAAGCGGCGAGCTGCTGCTGCTGCTGCATATGGAGATACTCGGCCTCCTCCGAATTCCTGCGCGCCTGCTCCTCGTTCTCCCTCTGCCGCTGGCGTTCGCGCGCCGCCATAAGCTGCGCCTGCTGCTGCCGGTGAAGCTCTTGGGAGTAGTGGTGGGCTGGAATCGTGGAGCGCGAGGGCGGAAGCGAATGAGACGAGCCCGGATGAGGTGTCTGGGCGGGGAGGCTCTGCTGCTGCTGTTGTTGCTGCTGCTGGTCCGAAACCTGATGCGTAGGCGGGACCTGCTGCTGATACTGGCCGTAGAACTGCTCCAGCTCTTGGGCTTGCATCTGTGTCATTGCAGAGTTCCATGACGGAGAGCCGTCGAGACTGAGGTCTGGATTCCGACTCGTACTCGTACTCGTACTCGCCGCTGCCGCCAGCAGGCTCTCTGCGCTCACGCGGGCCATCATCATCGTATGATCCTGGGAAAGGCCGTTTGCGAGGGTTGTTGCCTGCGGCTGACGGTGGTGAGGGAGGATAGGCTCCGAATGGTGGCTGTGCGTCGGCGAGGGCTGGAGGGTGGAACGAAAATGGTGAATCGTCGCTGATTCCGAGGCCGCCGGGGAAGCCGGGAGTGGATGATGATGCTGCGGCTGCTGCTGCGTTTGCTGCTGCTGCTGCTGCTGCTGCTGCTGCCAGGCTGCCGCCACCTGGTGTTGCTGGGCCGCGTCCAAGGCCTGGTAGGGATAGTTCTGGGCGAGCACCGACCAATCCAACGCCTCCATCGTATATAGGGCGGACTGGGTTGTAATACGCTGCTGGAGCTGTGCCTGGACGAGTGGCTGTTGAAGGTCGTCGGAGGAGAGAGTATGGGGGCCCGGATGGAAGGGGAAGTACGCGGGTGGTTGACTGTGAGAGGCTTGCGGGGGGTGGCTGTGAGGCGAAGGCAGAGGAGACGACTGCAGCGAGGGGCGGGAGCGATCTTGGGGCACCATCATTTGGGCCGCCGCCCGAAGTGGGTGGGCGACTAGTGCTGGATCCGGGGCGGGCATCCCCCGCTGGGAGGTCGGGGAGACCGAAGCTGAATGATGGTCCGGTGGAGAGGGGGAGAAAGGAATGGGCGAGTGGCTGCTGGTACTGTTGTTGCTGCTGCTGCTGACGGTGGCTGCCGAAAGCTGAGGATGAAGCGGTCGATGTAGGGGCACGAAAGGACTGGCCGGGGCCACGAAAGGAATGGCTGGACGACCGTATATTGGTCCGGTCGACGCCGCCGCCGCCGACGCTGGAAGAGGGGACTTGCCACGAGGCCGCGTTGTGGTAGAGAATGCTGGGATGGTCGGGGCCGGTCCCCTCGTACCCGGTGCTGGTGCCAGGGCGCGGATGCATCGGAATGGACTGCACCTCGGACTTGACGAGCCCGTCGGACTGGTGTGCGGAAGAGGCAGCAGCGGCCGCGGCCTGCGCGCGCTTGCCCCGACTGCTCCCCGTCCTGTTGCTGGCAGACATGGACGCATGCAGCGAGGCGAGGTCCTTCATCATGCGCTCGTTCTCCTCCTGCTTGTCGGCGTGCACGGTCTGCGCATGCTGGCGGAGATTGTCGAGCCGCGAGAACTGCTTGCCGCAGTGGCAGGTAAACGGACGCTCGCCGGTGTGTTTCCTGGGGGACTGTTACGACCCGCCCACTGGGATATATTACTGGCTGAAACCACGCACCTGATATGCCGTGCCAGATGCTCGCTCCGACTGAAGACCATGCGACAGTCGCCAAAGCCCCTGCACTGGAAGGTCTTGGCGGGGGCGGGGCGGTAGCGCTTGTTGACTCCTGTCCCTGGCTGGACGGCGTTTGCGCCGGGGACGAGCGGCTGAGCGGCGACGGCGGCGGCCATGTCGGACGACGTGGGGGACGCGGAGGCGGGCGAGTCGGCGGGCTCCTGCTTGGGGTGTGCGTGGTCGCTGTCGGTGACGATGCGGGCGGTAGTGTCGGTGTTGTCGACGCCGTCCATGAGGGGTAAAAGGGGGGGGCAGGGCCGCTGAAGAGGTGCCTGAGCACCTACCTCAATTAAGTAAGGCACCCGCGTGGCGGAGTTCAAAGTGCGCGCCGCACTGTCGGGTCAGGGGCAGATGTTCGCCCGCCCGGTACCGAAGTTAAGCTAGAATGCGCCGAACCCGCGCCACTGCGTCGATAACGCCCACATGCGCGTTCGCGTTTGGTTTTTGTTTTCCGCTCGCGTTGATGATGCGGTCTACGCCAATAACCGCTGCTCGGTCCACTGTCTAGCACCCGAATCGCACCCGACAAGCTCGCCTTTGGCTTTCGCGCTTCGGGCACGGCCATGATTGGCTTGTCGCCGGCTATGCAGACAGTCGCCCGGGCTGCAGCCTGCGCCCCACGGTAGAGTTCACGAATGTGAAAACAAACGCGCAGTTCCCCGCTCTCGCGTGAGCAGCCCACCACGGAATACAATACCTGCCGCGTCTGGCTATACCTTATCCTTATTTGGGCGCAGTCTAGGCTGGGCTTGGCCCGCGAGCCAATCAGGCGCGAGGATGGCGAAACCCCCGGCGCTCGATCCAGCCCTCGCTGTGGCTGTGCGTCATCTGCTGCAGATCTGCTTTCTGGTGGTGCCCGCGCATCTGGAAAAGGAACGGCCTGCGCTGCTTGCGGGTCTCCTCGCGAGCGTGGCCCATGGATCACCCAAGCCCGGCCGAGTTTCGCGCCCCGCGCCGGGTGTGACCCGAAGACGACTCGCACTGATACGCAGACGTGTATACAGAGTGCGGAGTCCGAGACATCCCACCCGGGCGTCCTGCGCGGCTCAACCCCGCAGAAACCTGCCGGCAAGAGACCCGCTCGGAGCCCGCCCGGATCAGGCGTATTCGTGCTCGGTTAATTCTCTGATCCCTCCAGCGACACCACACTCGCTACAAGCCTAATTTCCCGCCCGATCGCCAGTCCCATTGCACCCGCGCAGCGAAACACTCGCTCGCGGACCCTTGTGCGATTCCGTCCGCGCGTGAGAAGGTTACCCCGCCTTCGGCCTGCCAAAATGCACAGGCGCGCCGTTTCGGGCAACCAGCGCCGCTCCAGGCCTTGGGCTGGGTGGCGTTGTTGGAGGCTGTCCGGGCTCGAGACGTTGAGATGCGACGCGGAAAGGATGTGCCCTCGGCGGTGGGCGAGAGCGTATTGTATTGCAAGGATCAGAGTCCCCCTACCCCGCTCCGGAGGGTGCAAACAGCGGTGGGGGAACGTCAGCCGCCTTGACAGCGCGATCTTGCTCGTCACGAAAGAAAGAAAGAACGAAACCGTGAGTAAGGGTTAGGATGAACGGATGAGCAGGCGTAAAGCCGCAGCTCTGGCGTTGGGTGATCGTTCATCAGTACGTACTCACACTCTGGGGCCGGGCTGACGAGCTTACATGCGAGTGTCCTTGTGCAGCAGCGACGATTACTGCAGCTCTGTCAATAGCACACCTACGCTCGCGGGGGGAACGATACTTCCCAGCCGGCACCGATACCGACCCGTGCTAACCGCACACTCGTATACACGGACCAATAGAGTCACGGACATACGGTCTATCCCACCACAGCCGCCCGCGTCGGTGCCTGGGTGCACACTCAATCAGCAATGATGCCTAACAAGGAAGAAGGAATGGCCCTGAAAATCGTCCGCAACGTCTGTGCTGCGCCTCCAAGGCCAGCGAATTTGCTCCCGTGAGCATAATAATCCTCCGTGTGGGTCCTCCGGTGAGATAGGATCTCAACGGGCGTGTCATATGTATGACCAGTTAGTGCGACGTCCACTCCATGGGGCTAGTGCGAGTACCTCCTTCGTGGCTTTGGACCGTCGAATCTGAGACGCGACGGGAGAAGCGCAAAGCGGTGCTCGCCAGGGACGCGAGTGCGCTCGCTCATGCAGACAAGCCCGACCCAATCCAATCGCTCCGACGACGCGACGGATCTCTTCCCCAGATGCGCGACCTGCAGATCGTCGCCCGTCCAGGCACGCCTCTCTCCATCCAGTTAGAGTTGTACTGTACACAGAAGCGGACGTATACAAATGACACTTGCCTTTGCGAAACGAGATCACCGCGTCGGGGCTCCACAACGCCCGCGATGGCAGGTCAGCACACCGGAGTAAGACTGAGCCTGGATGCTCGATGGATTGCCCACCCATCAGCAATTTGAGGACACTTGTAAATCATTCTGATTGCAAGGAAAACCGGCGCGGGCATCTCGGGGCGCGATATGATGTGGACTTGTCTTTTGGGATCAATGGGCCCCGCGTGCTATTGGATGGAGCAGCGACAGCACTTCCGTGGTCGAGGACGAGCTTGTCAGGCCTGATGCGACCTTGCTCCGTACACTGCACCGTACTTGAAACCATCTGTCGACTCCGAGTCCCTCGCAATCGACGCTGCCATGCTATGCGTGTGCCAAAGCAGCAAGCCTACGGACACCGAAAGCCCTGCATCACAAAGCAAAGCGCCTGCTGACGAGCTCGCGTTGACGTTACGGGGGAGCATACATCCGACAAGGTCACGCTCACGAGCCCAGAGAAACCCTCCATGCACTGGCACGCGGCCCGCAAAAATAGCACGCTCGCGGAGCATGTATACTTGGCTCGCAGCGGAGCACGCGCGAAGGCTCGACTCCAGAAGACGCGAAGAGGTGAGAAGCGCGGAGTAGCTTGTTCGATGGCCCGCTGGCCCAGAGCGTCCGTCCGTCCGTCCGTCCGTCCGAGGCTGTGGCACACTGTAAGTGCCGCCAATCCCTTGGCCTTGGCCAGGCGAGATCCTTTGAACGCGGGCGTACAGTCATATTGGTGAGGACCAGAGCGGGCTGAATGTGCATAAATGAAGGAGCCAGGCGTATCCGAAGAAGCATTGGATTCATCAAATAAACTCGACTATAGCAAAAAAAACGCAGGGCAGGGAAGGTGCGCGCTTCTAATTTGCCAGAGACAAGTGTGCAGCTCGTGAGTGGGCGGCGCAAATACTTTCCCTATGATACAGACATGTGAGTCGTCCGGGCTGTACAGGTACGTTGAAATTTGCCATGGGGAAGACTCGTTGAACCGGACGCAAACGTAATTCACCAGCATCCCCCCAGGCAAATTTATGAGGCTCTTTGCTCCTTGTACGTTTATACTCCTGAAGATCCCGTCTACGCTCGTGCTCACGCTCACGCTCACGCGGCAGGCCCAGGGACGACGCGCACCTGTCTCTATTTCCGAAGAGCTTTTCTGGGTCCGTCTGGTCGTGCCTATCACGCAGAGCTGCTCTACACATAGCCAGGGAGGTACGCGCACGGTGTATACACTATACCCGCCGTGCTGGCGTTCATGTTCCCGCAGACACGCTGGGAACTCGCAGTTTTGCCTGGTCCCTTGCGATGCGGCAGTCCGTCCAGCACGGCGAAGCGCGCGCCAGTCGCTAGGAGTGCTTCGACGCCTGTCTGTCTGAGTGCCCATACCTACTCATCACAGAAAACCACATAGGACGGCAGTGGACCGTGTGTATGCGCTATCCCGACGTTCGTACCCCCGCACTGGCAGATATGCTCGGAGCTCGGGACTGGTGCTCTCGGATCGTCTCCCCACAGGGACTCTCTGGTGCTCAGGTACTCGACCGGAGGCCAGTAAGACTCGCTTCGAGCGGCGCCTCGATTCTTTCCCACTGGACGGTTTGAACACGGCGCGACGCCTGTGTACATGTTGCTCGGGCTCCTCGTGATTCCAATCCAAGTCGGGCCCTCCTTCCTCCTCGATGATTCGCGGCTGAGGACGCGCGGCGCCGACTGCTGACCAGGCACGCTCCGCCTGAGATCGTGAGCCGGCGCACACGCGCCCGCCAGGTAGTACGCCGCCTGCCCTCGTGCAACCGTACGATGTAGTCGGCGCACACGAGTTCGCCAGGCGGCAGCCTCGCGGAGATATGCGACCGGGAAGGAAGACGCACTGGGCCGGAAGCCCGCGGTATGCAAAACCTGCTTCCTTCTCCTTGTCCGCGTACGCTGCTGACGATCCTGCTTCATACGCTCACGCGCCCCGTCCGCGCACACGCTGTGGTATCGAGTCTGCAAGAGGTCATCTGGCCGTGCCTACCACGAAGAGCACCGCTCGGGAGGTACGCGAACCGTGTATATGATATGGGTGTGCGTGTTCCCGCAGACGAGCCGGGAACGGACTCTTGGCTGTAACAGTGGCTCGTCGCCCGTCCGCGACGGCCGAGCGCCACTCTTGTATCCAGGGACTGTTCTGCGTGGGGCGATCCGTCACTGGAACTAGTACCCGATCGAGAGCCGTGATATTACCCGGGATTTTTCGGTGCTAGGGTCGACCTTACTCTCAGTCTGACTTTGGCCGCGACTCGACTCGAAGAGCGGGAAGATTAGCTGCGACCCTGGCGTTCTCGAGTCGCGATCGTCCCAACGGGTGAAGCCCCAGGTTTTGAGACTCGGAGCGACGCGCCCGCGAAGTGGATCCAGCCCTTCATGATATCGTTCCAAGCAGCGCCCTGACTTGCCGTGAACACCGACCTTCGTTATCGCTCCACGTTGAGGATGGACCTCCTGCATCATAGCGTCCAGGATACATGCGCTCCGGGTCGTCGTGGCAGTCCTTGGACGAGGAGGGGGGCGAGTGTCAAGGCTCCTAGTTCCTCCCTTCTTTTATTTGAGTTCAAGTTCGACGGGGCCCCCTACAGTGAGGTTCTTGGCCTGTGCGTAAGCCAGGACCGGTCGAAACTATTTTCTATGACCGGCTCATGGCAAATGTCTCTGTGGTATCGACTGGTGCTCATCAGTAACCTCTGCATGCAATCACAGATATTCTCCGAATTCCAAATAGCGGTAAGCAAAGCCTGAGGATCATTCATCGTCTGTGTCCTGTATTCTACATACGACGAGACTGACAAAGATAACCACTTTCCCCAGCCCGTGCAGTCAGGCTGTACGCCTCGCACGCAAGAGCTAGTGGCTCCCCCCATCCCCCCCCTCCTTCGCGTTATTCCACAACACCGTACTACCCACGAGCCAACCAGCGCCCGACCCACCGCACGATCCATCTGAGCCCAGCGGTCGATCAGTCTGCAACAGAACCCAATCGGCCGCAATATTGCCATCACACTGCACTCAACCAACAACACCATAGCCAGGCACCATCAAATAAGCCTGAAAGCGGCTATGTACTCGACGGTGGGCGCATTCGGCACCGAGTTCTCAGATATCGTGCTTAGATTACCGCAGCCCGATGCACTGGGTGCACTGCGGCGGGATACGGTTCCGCTGCTACACTAAACCGCACTGGGTACAAGGTCACAGTGCCGCATGCATGCATGCTAAACCATTCACCCCCCTCCCACAAGGTTCCCATGGAACGCCCGGCACGCTCTTATCATTCTATAAATTAGGACCGCGGTCCGTCAGAAAGCCGCGATATAGTGGCGCGCGCGATCTATACATACATATTCGAAACGCTGGGTGAACGTTGATGACCTCTGCTCGTGAGTGATACGCAACACCGGAGGTGGACTGGCTTACCACTACGAGGGCCGCACCTCATGACTGGTCTGGAGCGCTCGGGGTGGTAGGGAGTGCACCCGCGTCCGCGGGCGCGCTGGATTCGGGCCCTGCTTGCTGAGACACGCTAGGCTCGGGATCTGCCTGCTTGGACGGCGCACGGCCCGCGCTCGCGCGCACCTTGTTCTCGATGCCCAACATCGCGCAGAACGCGTCCGTCTGCGGGTTCGGGTAGACCGGCGCTATCGTGACCATCCAATCAGTCGGTCGATTCACCTGACCACACAATGCTGCAGACGTACGCGGCCGGTTCTTCTGCGCCCTGTCCTCGGGCGACGGCCCCGGCGCGGTCACCGCGAACACCTGGCACTCCCCGACCTCCTTCGCCCCCACGTTTGCTTGCACCCAGGCGAGCTCGGCGCGCACCATCTCGCGCGCCTGCGCCTCCTCGGGGAAGGGCGGCTGCGACCTGCTGGTCGAGAGCCACGGCTGGAAGGCGCGCGTGATCGCGAGCCACTCGGGGTCGTACGCCAGCCGCGGCGCGCCGTCTCCTGCTTGCGGGCTCCCTACGTCAACTACCTGGGGATCAGACGGTGGGTGTTCAGTGCGCGTTCAGCGCGCGAGAGGATCGTGGGACGCGCACCTCGAGGAACTGTCTGCGGGGGAGGCACTTGTCCAGCGCGATGAATGTCGTCACTTTGGGGGGCGCTGGCGGGCGGGGCGGCGCGACGACCTCCGCCGCCTCGTCGTCCAGGACGATCTCGTCGGGGTTCTCGTTCTGTTTCCCCTCCGCCCTCCCCTGCTCCCCCTCTGCTTCATCCCCAACCCCACCCTCCTCCTCGTCCTCATCAATAACAATCTCATCCGGATTCTTCCCCGCCTTCTCCACCTTCTCCCCGCCGCCATGCACCACCGCCGCCTCGAACCGGCAGTGCAGGTGCGCCGCGAACCACCACGCCGGCTTCAGCGCGCGCAGGAGGCCCATGAGCGGCGGCGAGCCGAGCTTGCCGGAGCTGATGTCGTCCCGGAAGAAGGGTTTCCGGCGGAGGAGGTCCGCGGCGTCGCCGTGCGCGGTGATCGTGCTGGGCCAGTCGTGCGAGAGGAATATGTCGGGGGAGGAGAGCTAGCGGGGGGTGAGTGAGTCGAAAAGGCGGGGACGGGGTCGGGGTCGGGGGGACGTACGAGGGAGAGCCGCCGGACGTTGAACTCGCGTATATGATAGATCGTGCGCATGGTACCTTTGTCGTAGGGGAGGTGCTCGTAGTGGCCTGTATGCGTCCGCGGTCAGCACAGTAGATGTGGGAGGCAGACGCAAGAGAAAGGACTGGCCTAGGCGGAAGTCCTGCGGCTTGAAGATGCCCGACGCGCCGGCGATGCGCACGCCGTTGACGTGCACGCAGCCCGCGTGGCCGAGGTAGTAGATGTTGGGTGCCACCCAGCCGCCGTGGTACCTGCGAGCAAGGTGAGGAGAGTTTGAGATGTGCTTTTTGGATGCTACGCACAGCTCCCATAAATAGTTCGACGCTTCGTGGTTCCCGCCGATGAATATCGTCAACACAGGCGCGGTCTTCTCCCCCGTATAATACCTGCCAGAGACCTCGTCAAGCCGTCCCCACACCGTCTTATGCCCCCAACACGCACCACGCAACTTACTTGTGAAACCCGCCGAGGCGCTTATACTTGTCCGGCACGGCCATGCAGGTCAGGTCGCGGTGGTTGCGGATCGCCTGGAAGTCGCCGCAGATGAGGAGGAGGTCGACTTTGTAATGGTTCTGCTGCTCGAGGCGGGCGATTTCTTGGTAGATGTTGTCGAGCTCGCCGTGGCAGCATCCTTCGACTGCTATCTGGCTGAGTGTTGGGAGACTGCAGCTGGGGATGGCAGGGGAGACGCACTTTCATGGTTGCTTTGTTCCTGGTCCTATGCGCTACGAGCGTGGTATTGCGCGAGAGGAAAGAGAGCTGAAACGGTTTATGATATTGTAAGGCTCTCGTTTTACGCCCCAGGGAAGCTTGAACGCACAGAGCTGAGTTGAGAGCGAAAGGCTCGGACGGGAGATCCAAAGATACTTTGTCGCTTACTAAGCAGATAAGAATACAAGAGTCTGTGGCTGAGGCTGCCACCCAGCTGCAGGCAGTCCGTGGCATTGAAGGTTCTCCAGTCCAGTGTGCCGCTCTTTCGAACGCTTCAATGGCACGGACTCTCTGGACTAACCCCTTTAGCAGCGCAAGTAAACGACCTGCCAATACAGCTTCTTGAATGTTGACGGTGATACCATCTCCAAAATCAGTCATCTTCCAAGATCATCATGTTTCCCGACATATTCCATGTCTCGTCTCCTTTGCAGCTCCCACCAGCCCTCTCTCTAGACTAACCTTTGTCGCTCGTTGCACCCCGCGCCCGCGTCCGCGTCTATGGACCCTGCCCGCAATGAACTACACCATTGACGACACCCACCCCGAGATTCTCTACTCTCCCGGCGGCTGGGCCGTGCAGTCGCCCACCGACCCCGACCTGCAGTCCTTTCTTTACTCCACGTACCACGCCGCCAACGCCGATGGCGCCTCGTTCAATGTCACCTTCGGGGGTAAGGGCCTTCGCAGTCTACCGCGATGCTTGGACTCTCATGCTGGACACGTCTCTCAGGATCTGCCATCTACATATTCGGTTCGAAAGGGCCCCTGCACGTGCGCGCCAAGTACTGCGGCAGACCATACCACAGCTGACACTTTCTCCAGGCAAACTACGACGTCATCTACGACGGCACCCTGCTCGAGGGGCTCTCGGCGTACGCGCAGGACACGTCCTTCCAGCAGCCGCTCTTCCAGCATGTCTTCGATGTCGACGACGGAAGCATTGAGGGGCAGTCGCACTTTGTCTCCCTCACGGTGCGGTTCAGCGGCGCGAACAACTGGCTCGATCTCGATTATATCGTGTTCACCACGCCTTCGTACGTGCGCACTTGCTACAGCAGTAAGTACACCTGACGCATCTTTGGTATTACCCGCAGGTCTTCCTCTGCCTCGCCTGCGACGTCCGCTCCCGCGATGAGCTCCCAGCCGTGGACCAGCAGGTACATTTCACTCCCGCCCGACCAAGTGACACTCCTACTGACCTCGCACGCAGCGCTCCCGCCGTCACCACCCTCAACTACACCATCCTCGGGTAACCCCTCTCCCCTCCCCTCTCCTTCCACGCCCACTAACCCGCCCCAGCCTCCCCACAGCCTCCCCGACCCCCGCCCCCGCCCCCGCCGCGCTCCCCACCTCCTCGATCCTCGCCGTGCTCTTCGGCGCGATCACCGGCCTCGCACTGCTCATCCTCCTCGGGTTCGCGCTCATCAACCGGCGGATCACGCGCCAGCTGCAGCACAGGGACGGCGCGGGACGCCACGCGTACTCCGCCGCGCCGCGCGCCTCCCCGTCGCCCTCCCAGCCGCACTTCCCCGACCTCGCCTCGTCGCGCGCGCACACGAGCACGCGCGACCTGCAGCCGAACCGCCGCGCGACCGCCGCGAGCTACGCCTCCTCCGGCTCGCACTACGCGCCCACCGAGGCCTCGAACCCCAGCCAGTCCAGCCAGGCGCCGCTCAACCCCTCCCACCACTCGCTGCTGCCCCCGCCGGGGACGAGCCCGATCCGGTTCAACCACAATATACCGAGCATGGGCAGCCTGCGCTCGTTGCTGGGCACGAGCCGGCGGGAGAGGGCGGATGATGCGGATTCGACAAGGACGGATTTCTTGCAGGTTTAGCTGGCCTTGGCTTCCTGTCTTTTTTGGATTTTGGCGGACGGTGGCGTTGGCGTGCTACCGTTCTTGTTGGGTCGCTTGTTGTCTGCATTATAAATTATTGACGCCGTCGTCCTGTCTTTCGCTCGTTTGTATCCGTATGTCTTGTATCTGCGCTGCCCAGGTCAGGCGGTGGCGCATAGGTATGTAGTGTCAGTAGCCAAATCCATGTCAGGCTTCCATGGTCTACCTTTACGCGCACATCCGGGTGAGCTGCGGACCTCCATCGGAAAACAGCATATATACAGTAGCGGGAAACAAAAATAAGACACAAACGAAGCCCACTCGTGCGCACTCAATCCCCGGACCTGCTCCGCTTCCTCTCCCGCGGCCTCTCCTCCTCGCTCTCCTCCCCGCTCTCCCCCGGCCCCCCTCGGAGCGCCTTCATCCGCTTGCCCCTCAACCCCCCCAGCTCCTGCTTCCCCAGATGCACGCGCCCCCTCACGTCGCCCATCTCGTCGACCTCGACGTTCCGCCTCCGCTTCCCCAAGCCCTTCTGGACATCCTGTTTCTTGAGCTTCGGGCGCTTCATCGCGAGCGCGAGGAGGTGCGCGTTGGCTTCGGGGGGGACGTGGCGGCGGAGGGCGAGGTCGAGGAAGGGCCCCATGGGCGCGAGCGCGGCGCGCCCCGCGCGGTCGCGCGTGACGGTGTACGTGCGCAGGTGCACCCTGGGGAGGAGGGTCCCGTCGTCTGCGGCGCGGGCGGGGGGCGCGGGGGCCAGGGAGACGGAGACGACGTGCTCGAGCCCGGGGACGTGGATGCTCTCGAGCGCGGGCCCGCCGAAGAAGGCGAGGAGGAGCGACTTGAGCTGCGCGAGGCGCGGGTGCGTGTCGAAGAGCTCGCCCGCGAAGTGGAGCAGCGGGCGGTGGCCCGGCGTCGATTTCGGCGTCTGCGCCCCGCCGCGGTCACTGCCACCGTACGAGCGCGGGCCGGAGAAAGGGCAGGACGCACCTTGAACGCGTGCATGCTCACGAACGCCTCGATCCCCACCTCGCACATGTCCAGCACCTTGCAGTCGAACATCCTGACGAACGTGAGCCCGTGCGGGCGCTTCTTCGTGCTCTGCCCGACGACGAAGAGCGAGGCGTCGTTCTTTTGCGCCCAGAACTCGAGCGAGGACGCGTCCTCGAACGGGTGCACGGGGTTTTTCTTTGAGAAGGAGATCGCGTCGGGGCGCTTGAGCGCCATCTGCAGAGCAAAATGGCATTTTAGCGTTAGCGTTAGGAGGGGAAGGAAGGGGCGCACCAGTTCCTTCATGGCGTTGTTCACGATTTCGCCTGTATGCGTGCCCTTTACGAATATCGCCTGCCGCGGTCCCTCGACCTCCTTCGGCTCACGCGCCTCCAGCGCTCGCTTTGAGCGTGCATTTTTGGGCTTTCTGTCCGTTCATAAACGTTAGACGGCTTCAAAAGTGTGATAGAGGAGGGGACTCACACTGTGCGTAACATGGCCGTCCGAGTCGAGGAAAGGGAGGAAATTGTGATTACGTAAATGTCAGAGATCGAGAGTGGCTATGTTTTTCTCACGCTCTGTCCTGTATATCCTGCCATTTGTGGTGGATATTCTCCTCTGTGTCTCCTCGAGCATTATTGACTATTTCATGCCCTCGATGAACTTTTCTTGTGCTCTGCCAAGTTACTGTCTTGCCTTTCAATCACGTACTCTAGGTGACTGCCGGCGGAATGACAACATATCTGCGTCCCTGTGACTGATAGCCTCTCGCAAACCCAACTCGAATAACTGGTCACTGAACCGCCCAAACTGCCATTAGCTCTCACCGGGGCTATTCTCGGAATCTTCGGGTGCTTGGCCTTCAACGCTAATGGACAGTGTGCGCTACGGCTAGAACGAGTAATCATAGGTGACGGTTTACTATCGATTAGCACCGCTGACCACCGCGGTTGATGGCGCCAGCTTCTCTGCTTCCGTATGACTACATTGCCATCCCTTTGGCCGAAAGACGCGTACAAGCAACCCTTGTCCTCGTCGCCTGCAAACAATGTCGCGTTCATTGATGCTGCCGACAGGTCCTTGCAGTCTCTGGAATACCGAAACCCCGAGAGAGGATTACCTGGACGAGTATCGTCCGGGTTGAGTAGAAGGACACGTGCCCGCCACGCCTATGACGGGAGGCTCGCACTATCTATTACTATCTGCGAACGCACAAACAACCTATGGCATCACCAACACGAGGCTCTTTATGTCCGGCCCTCTCTTCTCCCCGCATGTTGTGGTATCTCGTTTGTAGTCTCCCGCTGCTCTCCCCCCTGGACTCTGCACTTGCTTCCGTTGACGAGGCACCATGTCCAGCCGCGTGCAGAGTCCCGGGTACGTCCCTACCATCCCTCCTCCGTGCAGACCCTAACCCTTATCCACTCCCCAGCTTAGACTACATCCACGATCACCTCGACAACATCCGCGAGCCCTCCCTCCCCTCCTCCCCCTCCACCTCCAGCTCGCGCGAGATCCGCCCGCTCCCGCCGCCCCCGCCGCCCACCTCCTCCCGGCGCACGCGCACGCCCGCCCAAGACGGCGTCTTCTCCAACACCACCAACCGCCTCCTCGCGCGCATCCTCGCACGAGAGGAGAGGGACGCGCGCAAGATCGACTCCATCGTCTCCCTCACCTCCTCCCAGCTCGAAAAAGAGTCCGCGCGCGCGAACGACGCCGAGCGCCGCGCCCTCGTCGCGCTCGCGCAGCTCAACACGCTCGCCGACTCGAAGCGCCTCTTGGAACAGGACGTGTCCCGGCTGCGCGAGGAGCTAAGGCTGTACAAGAACCAGCTGCAGGACGCGCAGCGCGAGATCTTCCGCGCGCAGGACATCGTCGACCGCGTCGGCAGCGAGAAGCAGGACGCCGAGGCCGAGGCCGCGCGCTGGCGGAGTATCGCGCGGCGGTGGAAGGAGGAGCGCGCGCTGGATAATGCGCGGGAGGAGGCCCACCGCCGGGGGTATGCCGAGGGCCTCCGCAGGGGGTTCGTGGAGGGGCGCAGGGAGGGGTACTATGCCAGGGAGGACGACGAGGATATGGTGGTGTACGGCGAGGAGGATGCGCCGCCGAGAGAGTGGGACAGGGACAGACGGAGGGCGGGCGAGGAGGATGCGCCGCCGAGAGAGTGGGACAGACGGAGGGCGGGCGAGGAGAATGCGCCGCCGAGAGAGCGGGACAGACGGAGGGCGGTGTCGGGTTCAGGCTCGGGTTCAGGCTCTGGTAGTGCAGACGAGCCGCCTGCACGCCCGCCGTCCGCTGCACCCCGCCCTTCTTCTCGCGCGGCTTCCCGCGCCCCCCCTCGAGCGCCTACGTGAGAGCATCCATTCCATCTCGGAGCGTGTCAACTCAGATATCCCCTGCAGACGGACCTCAAACCGCACACCCAGCTACCGCGAGCCCCGCGTCCCGGACAGCGCCCCGCACGCGCCAACGATGCCCTTCCCCACCCTCACCACCCCCGTCAACCCGCCCTCCCCACACCACGCCCCGCCCTCCCCGCTCCCGCGCTCGCCCGAGGTCATCCAGCCGATCCCGGTGTACACCGTCGGCGCCACACCACCCCATCCCCCCGTCGCCATCCCGCCCGACGGGTGGGTCCCCGCGGCCGCGCGCCTCGGCCCGGGGGGCGAGCCGCAGATACCGCTGCCGCCGCCGCACGAGATGGGCGGGGCGGCGATGATGCCGCACGAGATGGGCGGGGCGACGACGACGACGCCGCGCTCGCAGGCGCCGAGGCATCTGCACGGCGCGCAGGAGGACTCGTTCTACATCCCGCGCGCGCGCCCGGCCGTCCCGCGCTCGGACGTCCGCCCGCGCGACTACGCCTACGCGGGCGGACAGGGGCAGGGGCAGTACGCCGAGGCGCCGCCGAACGTGCTGCGCGTGCCGAATTCCCCGCCGCGCCCCGCGTCGCGCACGTCGACGCGCATATCGGACTTTGAGATCGTCAGCGCGCCCGCGTCGCGGCGCGAGACGCCTGCGCCGAGACGGGGCAGCACGCCTGGGCCCGGGATCGGGGGCGAGAGGAGCCATACCCCCGGCACGGAGCGGAGCCGGACGAGGTCGGTGGGGAGGCGGAGCGAGTCGCGCCCTGTAAGTCGCAGAGCATGAACTGTTCCTGTATATTTATTTTGTTCATAATGCAGAGGCGCTCGTCGTCGCCCCAGCCGCCACGCGAGGTGCGCTCGCACACGCCGCGTTTAACGGAGGAGACATATCATTCGCAGCCACCGCGCTCGCACACGCCCCGGGCGATGGAGGAGATGTATCAGCCGCAGACGTATCCTGAGCCCCCGCTTCCTGCGACCACTCCCAGACCCAGGACCCCTGGCGATAGTCTCAGGAGCTCGACAAAGACGCCTGTGGATAGGACGGCAACAAGGACACCTCTGGACTGGTTCTTCCGGCGGCGGGCGCGGCGGCGGGATTCGACGCCGCCCAATATAAGCGTGGAGCCGCCTGTAAGTGCTTTCGCTCCATCTGGATCACGCGCCCGAGTCTCACCTATCCATGCAGTCCGGCTCCGTGTCTACCCACTCGAGCGGGAGCAACACCTACGTCCAGCCGCACCTCCTCAGCCCCGACCGCGTCCCGCAACCCCTCCCCATGTCCCTCGACGAGCAAATGCACCACGTCCCGCCTCCCCAGCCCATCCACCACATCCCGCCAACCAGTCAATCCCCCGCCATCTTCGGGCACTCCCCCGACGGGCACCTCCCGCCGCTCTTCGTGCCCACCGGCCCGCCGGTCCCCGTTCCGCCGCCCGAGGAGACGTTCCGGATACCCTCGCCCGGCGTGAGCGCGTACTACAAGGACGTCGCGATGAAGGAGGGCCGCGATCGCGCTGGGAGCGATGCGTCGATGGAGAGCGCGCCGTTGAACCGGCCGCTGTCGATATTTAATGAGTGATGGGCGCTGCTGGCCAGCATCTGTCCGTGTGATAGGATCTCATGTTTGTATGACAACGCATTGTTGCATGGTTTGTGTATTCCTCATGTTGTACCATTAGCATTTGCATGATCAAAGACGGATCTTAGCGCTCAGTATCGCTGTGGCTCACGAACGACTCGTTCTGCATGCGAAAACTTCAAACTTTGACGTCGAGCAAACTGAGAAAGCACTACAGTAGCTTGACCCGCCTTCTCGGGATCGTTGGTATAAACTTTCTGGATCGCAATGCTTGGCCGGGACCACACAGGAAAGCAACACAGGAATATGCAGTCGTACGACATTCTCCCCAGACCAGTCGTGTATTCAGTGTATCGTGAACGATCACAACATAAACGGACCACAATTCTAGGGCAGTCACGAATCATACCGATCCATTATGATGGGACAAACGTCTGCATCGCATCCAGGCGCGTTCCCATGTTACTGTGGCAAGGAAGAAGATTCGTACGCCAAGAGACATGTAAATGCTCAAGGAGACGTACCTGTTCCAGATCAAAGTACTCGGACAGATGGTCCCACAGCAGTTGACGCAACTGCTCTGAGTTACTGACCAGCGTTCCGACGCACTCGTCGCACAAGTCCTTCGCTCAGTCGTCGAGTTCGTTTCCCACAAGACTATGCAGCAGATGCAACGGGTCATCGCTGTGGTAAATAGCGACCGCCAGATCACGCTTTACCTTCCGTCTTGCGTTGGCAGAGCATCCATCCCTGAAGTCGGGCCTTTCTGGCCTGGCAGTCTCCTCGGGGAACCCTTCTTCGCGATCCTCGTACCGGTGCCATTGGAACGACCAAGACATAATTGCAACACGGGCGGCACTCTCCAATCTCGCGGTCCCGCTAAGCAAGTGGTAGTATTCATCCGGTAGACTTGGCTGTCCTTGTGCCATGGTAGAATGTCGCGTCCTTCAACCATTCTTGAGTCTCAGCTCCATCAGCGCCCCACAGTATAGATAGCCTGGAAAGATGATAGAAAGCGGAAGGCAACATGGCGGATACCCTGCACGTTCTCGCCAGCTGTATTGCTGAGATCGACTCCGGCAGGTGATTGTCCAGAGGCTCATTGCATGACATGGAGTCGCAGGTATCGAGCCGTTCGTGCCATACCTTTTGTTTGGCCTCTACTCCTTTGTCCAGAGTATCCCAAGCTTGGAGGGACGTCGGCCAATATTCTTCCAGACGTGGGATGATTTGGGGCTTGACGATGTCTATCTCACATTTATCTGCTATGGTCAATAGCGGTTGGATAGCCGCGGGTGGGGCATAGACGTTGGGAGGGAACAGCCCCAGTCAAGAAATGTCAGAGACGGAAGATGAACAAAGAAGACCCGCATACGCCTCCTGGTATAGAAGCGTCAGCAGGGCCTCCAGTACCTCCATATTGTGGGCATATGAACGAGCGGTAATCCCTCCCAGAATTCATTGACGGCCGACACGAGCAAGATGAACATGTCGGCGAATATGGGCGCACCCTTAGAGAGCATCGAGCTATGCACTCGGAAGCCGATACGTGGACCTGCATCGTTCAGCGCACGCACAATAATACTCCCATCCGAAAGCCATAAAGTCTCGTTCCGCTCCTCCGGGGTCGTATGACACGGAGGCCTTTTGGCGCTTGGGGGCGCTAGAGTTGTCGTCCATTACCGAAGGAGGAGCAGGTACGAGTGAGATAGCGGGAGACAGCAGTGATCACGACAGTAAGACCATTGCAAGGCTCACCTGTGGTCAGCCATCCAGGTCATCATCACGATGGCGATATCAATCAAGTGCCTGGTCCGAAGAACAATATCGCAGTGGGTGAACGAACACTGTGACAGCCATGCACCTCCCAAACCGTTGCAACCGAAGTACGCACTCCACTTGCTGCAGTCTTAGTGCGGACTCAAGCAGCGGGCGGGGCTGGGGCTTTACGCGTACGAAGGAGGGACGTACGGCTTGGATTAACTGTCGACGTTTCGATCTGATACGCGTGATGTCTTGTATTATCTCTCGGAGAGCGGTAGCACAAGTACTTTGTGCGGTTGCTCACTGTACGCTGAGTTTGAATGTTCGAGATCACTGCATTAAGCAAGGAACGTAGAGTAGACATTATGAAGCGAATAGGGGTGCCTGCGCAATAACAACGAATTTCTCCCGACTAATGGCGATGCCACTAACTAGGAGGATGCCTTCCGCCATTCTGTGAAGATAAACACGGCCGAGTCAGAATTGAATTACCCAATCAAAAGGAAACCGACGTACATATCGTATCGATATTGAAAAACTCGGGAAGATGCTCCCAGAGATACTTTCGTAAGGCTGACGCTTTCTCCATGACAATGAAGACGCATCTCGGGCATACATCCTTTGGCTCATTGTGCAGAGGGAACGAAGCGTAGGTCTGCAGCGTTCGCAGCACGTCGGGATGCGACGCGATCGCCTTCTCCAAGTCCGAAATCATGTTGCGTCTTGCGTTCCTAGAGCACCCCTCGTCCTCATGATCTGAAACGCCGGCCTCAGCCAGAATATCCCCGGGGAGCTCGACGTGTTCAAACTTCCAACCGCGAACATGACGCTGGGCAGCATTTTGCAATCTAGTACGTCCCGCGAGAAGATTGTAGTAGTCGTTCCCGGGCAGGCTTTTCCACCTCGCAGTACGCGTTCCCATGAACAGACGCCCCCTCTGAATGGATGGGTATGTCTCTGTGCCGTCCGGGCCCCATTCGATGGACAGGCGGGACAGGTGGTAGAAGGCGGAAGGAAGGATAGCAGGGATCTTGTATTGCTTTGCCAGTTGTATGGCGGCCACCGGTTCAGGAAGGTGATGGTCCAAAGGCTCGTCACAAGTAGGACCAGTGCAATTATGCCTCGAGTGCCATCCCTCCCGCATAGCCGTGATCTCGGCTTCCAGTGTATCCCAGGCTGGCAGACTCGTGGGCCAGTCCTCCATCAGACGCGCGACAACCTGCGTCCTCAAGTGTTCCACCTCGTATTTGGTAGCTAGACCTAGCAACGGTCCAACCAGAGCGGGCGTGTTAGGATCCAGACGTTTGACGGGGAGAGCTCTAGCGAATGCGTGAGTCGACGGTACATAGACCTCTAGCGAGTAAAAGGACACGTACGCTTCCTGATAGAGGATCTTCAGAAACATCTCCAGCGCCTCTGCTGCGTCCGGCATCTGTACCACAGGCAATCCCTCGAAGGACTCGTTTACATTCGACGGTGGTAGTGTGAACATGTCGGCGAAAATGGGAGATACTTTGCAGAGCATTGACCTGTGAACGAGAAAGCCAGTTTCCTGTCTCATTCAGAGCACGCAGAATGATATTTCCGTCCGAAAGCCATAGCGTCCCGTGCTTCGTGAAAGTGGGGCTCTCCGCCTCGCCACCTCGTCCTGATTGCTCACTTTGCGAAGAGAGTCTTCGTCGTTTCTGCCGGTTATCGGTTTCGTCCATAGAACCAGGTGACGAGAGAGACACGAAAGAGCAATGGTGCTGTAGTCATCGATAAATATTCGCGTAGCAGAAAGCCACCAAGAAGGAACTAGAAGGCACTACGCCGTAACGCGACCCCGTCACATCAAATGCCACAAACGCCACCGGTGAATCCGCAGACTGCTAATTCCCCAAGTCGTCTGTTACACTCCAATTCAAAAATACCCACTGTGTCTAAGACCAGCACAAATTTCCTGGGCATTCTCCCTATTTGTTCCCAGGCGTTGGACGAGGCTGTAATAGGGTGACGGTTTCGTTGATAGGCAGGACAGGTATGCTAACCTGACCTAGGTATAATTTTCTCAGCAGAGCAACAATTCCAAGCCTTCGGCGCGCGAGCGCTGTGGAAGCTCTCATACAAGTCGAAGTGGGTATAACAGCCTTGGTCGACAGAGAGAAACAATCCAATACCGTGAGTCAGAGCAGAAACCAAAGGTGGTCTCGCAGTATGCGTCATTCAATGACGATCCCTGAGGAGTTCACCGTTGCCCCGGGGACGCCGGCCGTATTTTCGTATAGTCTGAAGCTCGCAATGGGCGACCTTGGTCACACCGTTAGTTGGAATTCCCGCTCGCGATCGGTGTAAATAGGCTGCAAGGTCACTCGATAGCACACCGTACATGTGCAATACCGTTTTCCGGCAATCATGCGTAGAAACCCGGCCTCGCCGATGGCGAGCTACAGCTGCAAAGCCGCAAGGACCATACATTAGCTAGTGCACCCACTGACCACGAACACTGGCTGCGTACCAAGTCAAGCTCGAAGAATTCTGGGAGGCGGCCCCAAAGATCGCGGCGCAGTTGCCGGGCTTCAGTGGTGAAAGTGAGAAGGCACTGTGAGCATAGACCGTCGGATAATTCGTCACATTGAACATCCGTAAATCGCCGTAGTACATGCAGGACGTCGTCGGCGTTGCTCACGGCCTCGAGGATATCCTGCCTGGTCTTCCATCGCGCAGACTCCGAGCACGGATCGTCGTCTGGCTCATCTTCGTCCTCATCCGAGCCTTCGCCGAAGTGGTAGCTAAAAGTCCATCCACGAATTTGCGAGTCTACGGCGGCCTTCAGGCGAGCGCGGCCGACATGGAGGCAGTAGTGATCCTCCGCAGACAGGCTCTTCCATTTAGCAGTTCGTACCCCCCGGTGGCGAGACATCCTCTGTCTCTCTTCATTCCGCTCCGAGCCGTCCGGCCCCCATTGGATGGACAAGCGGGAAAGGTGGTAGAAGGCTGCCGGAAGGATGGAGCGGACGCCGTGTTTCTTCGCAAGCTGTATCGCCGACACCGGCTCGGGGAGGTATTTATCCAGGTACTCCGGGCAGCTCAAGCCGCCGCAGGGTTTGTGCTGGAAGTGCCAGTCGCGATTCATAGCCTCGATCTCCGCCTCCAAGGTATCCCATTTGTAAAGGGTCGTAGGCCAGTCCTCGGTGAGACGCTGCACAATCTGGCTGCGAACGTTGTCTATTTCGTACTTGGCCGCGATCTCGAATAGCGGTCCCACCTGAGCGGGCGTGTTGGGATCAAGACGCTTTAGAGGAAGATTTCTGGTTCGAACGTGGGCCCAATAAGAAATGGGACGACAAAGAGAATCGGAACGTACGCTTCTTGGTAGAGTATTTTCAGTAACTGTTCGAGCACCTCTGCGCCGTCCGGCATTCGAACCACGGGCGACCCTTCAAAGGATTCGTTCACATTCGACGGCGGAAGGGTGAACATGTCGGCGAATACCGGGGATACCTTGCATAACATGGACCTATGCACGCGAAAGCCAAGCCATTCTCTGTTTTGATTCACGGCACGCAGGATGATGTTCCCGTCCGCAAGCCATAGGCTCTCGTGCACCTTAAACGTCGGTGGCTCGGGCTCTGTGTCTTGGTCGCATCCCCATTCCTTGCTTTGCTGTGAGAATCTTGGTCGCTTCAGTGGATTAGAAGTCCCCTCCATTGGGCAAGATGACTATCAATATCCGATAAAAACCAAGGAGCGCAGAAGACGGTACGATTCCGAAGACACAGATGAGCGACGCGCTTGAGCACTTTGCGCGTCCTGTCACGCGTCTGGTCACAGCAAGTGGTGGGGAACATTCTCCCTGCCATATAGCGTGCGAGGGAGAGAAACTGCAACGCGCGCGCTGTCCGCAGATATCTAACTACATACATCCGACTCTTGAATGTTGGTCAGTGCAATGCCAAGGGACCAAATCCCAAAAACACCTGTGAAAGGGACGGACTTCGGGAAGTACATGGAACCCTGATATCATCGAGGCTATAGAGATTCAACTTCTGCGGTCTTACCAACGAGACGCAACAAGAAGAGTGGGAATGATGGGTGACAACTGCCCCAACTCGCCAGCATAGGGCAACCACGACCTTACAGCCTTCGTCTCAAGGTGATCATCCAAAGATGGAGGGTGACACCAAATCAACGTCCTTGGAGTTCGAGATGTAGTGGCCTAATCTTGAGATACGTGCACACCACGCTGTTACAGTTTCAAAGGCGAGATAAACACGAGAGCGAATAGGCTACAAGTGTCAAAGCGAGTTTCAACTTCACGAATGCTGACGGAGGACGTCGGAAGCCGGGACAGACGTCGGCGGCAGGAGCTCGCACACGCCAACCGAATAATCCGAGGTTTCCGAGCGACGATTGTTGCATCATCGCTGCACTGATTACTCGGTCCAAGAAAAGATGTCCTCGATTCCGAAGAAAGTACGAACTAGACACGAGTTGACAGGGCTAAGGAGCGACTCACAAATCCCGTCTCCTCTATCAGATGGTACACCACGGTCAGGGCATTTTCCGTGAACGCATATCTGCACGCGAGAAGCTATAACGGTCCTGTTCGAGCTCACTGGCGAACGGACATGCGTAGGCAGGTCTCAAGCCACTCACTCGATAGGGGCCCACGGTGAAATATAGACTCACTGGATTTATACCCCTGATATGAAGGTACGAGCAAATCAACGTTGACGACGACCTGAATAGCACGCTCCGTATCAGCAGGTTTCGTCGCAGTTCTTCCGAGACAGCAATTGTTAATGGGGGATTCTTCAAGCTGAGACGTTAGCAGAGCAGTACCCGTTTAAGCCTGGATTACGAGTGATTCAACGAAGAGTATGAGCCGGTGCCCAACGCGAAACATAACGATGTTGCACGCGGTCGGCGGGCGTTGTGGAGATGGGAAATTGCCAAAAAAGGGGTGCAATGCCGAGTGAGCAGAGCGTGTGATCAGCCGTTGTCTGTTTCGTCCCCGCACCACGAAAACAAACGAAAACCGGTCCTCCAGCATCTGCTGCCCCCACGCTCCTTTGCACTACGCTCCCGCATGGAATACAACTGACTCGTCGCAACTCGCAATTCCTGATCGTGTGATTATCGACCGACATGTCATTGACATTGACCCCCCGTAAGTGACCGATTTCACGCTGCGGGGCGATAACTGACACCTATCTGACAGCCTTTTCGCTGCCCGACACGAGCACTACCACCTCGTCGACATCGACGAGCGTGTCGACGACGTCAGAGACGACCACGTCGACCAGCAGCAGCCCGACTACGTCCAGCACCACCACCTCGAGGACCACTTCCTCGACGACATCAACATCGTCTGCTCCGACAACGACATCTTCTACCACCTCCACCTCCACTTCCACCTCCGCCACTTCCACCTCGTCTTCCACCTCGTCTTCGTCGTCTACCTCGTCGACCTCGAGCAGTACCACTTCGTCCTCGAGAACCTCGATCACCCCGATCCCGACAACCCATTTCGAGACCTCGACTGGCGCAGATGGTTCCCTCGTGACTGTAACAGTCATCACGCAGACGACTCCGACCCAGGGATCTAACCAGAACAGCACCAAGGGGGCTACGCCGTATGTATCCGACTCTTTATCACCTATTTGACCCCTCACCCCTTTCCAGCTTCTTCTCCAACAAGGGCGCCGTAGCCGGCGTATTCACCGTTGTCGGCCTCTTCGTCGCCGCCCTCCTCTTCTTCCTCATCACCACCTACATCCGCAAGCGGCGCGCACGGCGCTTCGACGACGAGGTCGACGAAGCCGCGCGTGAAGCCGCGGCGACCGCCTACACCGCGAACCCCTACCTCGACGATGACGACGACGACTTCGCCATGCGGAACGCAGCCGCCAAGTACGAGCCGACGCCGACCGTCACGAGCCACGGCACCTACGCGCAGCCGCCCATGGGCGCCGAGAGCTACGGCATGCGCGAGATCCACCCGTCGCAGATGCCGATGACGATGGGTCAGCAGGCGGGGCCGCCGCCCGTTCCCTACGACCCCTCGACGTACGGGATGGCCGGGGTGGGCGTACAGAGGGCGCGGAGCAGGAGGGACGGCCCCGACGCTAGCGCGCCGGAGCAGACGCCGTACAACCGCTTCGCGTCGCCCCCTATACCCGAGGCGTACCCGGATCCAGCGGGGCGGTACAGAGGCGGGAACACCCCGCACGACTGGGACCTCCTGCAGGCCGCCGGCCTCGCCGACCAGACGCCCTTCTCCGACCCGTACGCGGCGGTGAACGCGAACCTCGTGCGCGGGCCGTCGCACACGCAATCCTCGACGTCCGCTCACAGCGGCGGGTCCGCCGGCGCGCCGGGGTTGAACCGCCAGCCGTCCGTCGGCGCCGCCGGATTGCTATCGACGCCGTCGGACAGCGCGCACGCGCACACGCCGCCGACGTCGCAAGAATCATACGCCGCGCACTACAAGCCCGACTTCCCCGGCCAGGCCTACCGCGGGGTGAACCCGAACTCGCACTCCGCGCTCGAGACGCTCGGCGCGGGCCAGGCGGAGGACCCGTACGGCGGGTACGTCGAGCCCATGCCGAACCCGCACGCGCACGCGATCCCGAACCCGTTCGACACCCGCCACTCGTACGCGGACGAGAGCGAGGAGGAGCACCGCGAGGAGAGCCCGCCGCAGTACGAGGCGGGGCCGAGCGGCGAGCACCTCCCGCCGCCGAATCCCAAGGGCGGGCGCCGGGACGCGGAGACGGAGAGTATCCGGGACGATGAAGATTATGGCGCGGGCCGGGTGCTCAGGGTACGTTCATGTTTTAATGGTGCTGCGCGATCCCTGCTGATGTTTTTGTAGGTCGCGAACGAGTAGACGATTCTTACCAGGCTGCAAGTACCCTTATCTATCGCTCTCCCGCGGCGGGTTCCGGGGGCTGCAAAATTGCGGCGGACCGTTGGCGCCGCTGGTGCATCTTGTATGTACTACTTTGACCGCCGCTCTTGTGACACTTCACCGCCCTCCGAGTCCGCTGTACTACATCGATACCACGTCCCCCTTGCTTTCTGTCTGCTATCTTATCTGGTTCAGTTATTTCTTACCTCGTGCCCTCTTCGTCCCTCTCCCTCCTCTCGAGCACATCGCTCCGGCCCGCGGCCGAGTTCTTTGGACCCTTCCATGACTGACCGCTCCCAGGGATTTTCTCTTTCGAGTCGAGTCGGACTCGGACCTTTATTCGTAGCTGCGTATATTAGGCGTCATCTCTTTGTTTCCTAATGGGGGGTCCGTTGGGTTTTGCGGGACACTTAAGCTTGTCGAGCCGTTGTTTGGGCTGTATGTGCAGGTTAGAGTCCTGCTGTGACTCGCAATCCTATTTATTTGGTGAACGTGATGTGCTTTGGGAATTGGTTAGGGTTGTTGTAGTTCTCCGCACAGTAGTGAAGCACAGTGAAATTTACTTCCGTAGCGCCACCGGCGCGAGTCGATCGTGTCTCTAATTGATCGCGTCCTGAGCCTTTCCTTCGCTCATTTCGTGCTGTCTTTCCGGGCGTACATGCGCTTCTTCCTCTCGGATGGACAGCAATGATAACTTGACAAAGGTCTCGAGTCCGCAGGGAGCGCCGTCCCTGACCATGAACAAGCACGAGACGCTATGGCTTCTAGACGGCAGCGTAGTGCTCAGCGCTGCCAACCTCGTCGGATTTTGCGTAACATAGATCCTTGCTTTGCAAGGTTCTCCAATATTCGCGGACATGTTCGCCCTGCCACCGTCAGATTCGAACGAATCCTACGAGAGACGACCGTGCATCCAGATGCCAGATAGTGCCGAAGATCTGGAGGCAGTCTTGAGGTTATTATACTATGAGACGTATGGGTCGTTCTATTGTTTGCACCTCGTTCGGTTTCAGGGCATCTTCTCACTGCGATTCTTGATGCAGGACGCTGTCACTCGAACGCCTCGACCCCAAGACGCCGTCAATAGTAGACCCAATACTATCAATAGCGACTAAATACGAGATACGCGTCCTGAGGGAGCCAATAATCAAACAACTGACTGAAGACTGGCCCACGACCCTGAAGGCTTGGGATGTATTGGAGAAGGAGATCGCAGTCATGCTGAAAGCCGCGTACGACGATCCGGTGGTCTTCATTATGGATGACCACCTTCCCGAACCCGTCTCGGCCATTCGACTGGCCTACAAGTGCGGGGTGCCCACCATTCTTCCTGCTGCATTTTACCACCTTTCCCGTCTGCCTATGCGATGGGACCGGACGGAACTGAAGACAATCGGTTGATGCAGCTAACCGCGTTGAGCTATGGGGCACGCAGTGCGAGGTGGAAAAGCCTGCTAGGCGAGGACTACTACCGGTTGCTCACTGGACGCGAAAAACTAAAGTGCGCCGCATATGATCAAATCATGAAGTGGACATTCTCACCCCCCGCAGACGATGATGATGATGAATATGGCAATGATGACGAGGACATGAATGAATATCAAGCATGCTCGCGCCATGGAAAGAAGAGGCTCTTTCAAACCTTGAAGCAGGATGTTGATCAGTTCAACGACATACTCGGCATTCTGCACCGCTACTCCAAGGACAGCCCAACTTTTATAGTGCTTGATGGTTTGTGCTGGCGATGCAGACCGATATTCCAGCAAAAAGCTGGGGAACTGCGATGGCACCTTTGGGATCGTCTTCCGGAGTTCTTCGGCCTGGATCACATTGTGCGTCTACGTATACCAGCACTCATCCGCGTTTCTCGATTGCTCACCGTCTGCGCAGGAGTAGAGACGTATCTCTGAATATAACTACATATGTGAGCTATCATGGACCCTTTCAATTGCTCCTGTCTTCACGTCGGGCTTTCATTCTGACAAGTCGCACCACTTCCCCAGATAACGCGATTATATTGTCCCCTGCTGCTCATCATATGCTGAAGGTAACACAGGGAGTGTGCATCTACGGTATTCTCTACGAGTCTTCACCCATGCCCGTGAGATAACGATCCATGGCTAAATATTACGCACTGGGAGAGGTAAGCAGTTGATACAAATTGGAATCTGTAGATGCCGCATATAATAATACAATGACGAGTTCGTCCGGCGACAACCTTGGTTCATGCTAGAGGCGTAGTCCTATTGCTGCTCAGCTGCGCTGCAGGCAAGTTAGGGGATGCGAACGGCACATCAATCAAAGGACGGACCGGCTGATGTTGAAAAACTCGGGCAGACGCCTCCACAAATTCTCTCGCAGCTCCGGCAATTTTTCGGTCTGAATATACGAAGAACAAGACGAACAAATTTTCCACTGCGAACGCAGAGCTTGCTTCCGCTTTGTCCGCAGAACATCCAAAACGTCGTCATCGTTACCAATCGCCTCCTCGAAATCACATTGTAACCGCCATCGTGCCCTCTCTGAACATATACTCTCATCCTCCGAGTCCGAGTCATCATCATGGTGTGGAAAGTCCCAGTCAAAGATTGCCTTGCTTGCGGCATCTTTCAGTCTCATCCGTCCCGTCAGGAGGTTGTAATAGTCGTCGACTTTCAGACTCTTCCACTTCGCAGTCCGCACACCTCGCATAAGGTAGCTCCTGTGCTGCTTCTTCGGCTCAGCACCGTCAGGGCCATATGCGATGGACAGCCTCGAGAGGTGGTAGAAAGCGGCGGGGAGGATGGCAGGGATCCCGTACGTCTTGGCCAACTGGATTGCGGAGGCGGGCTCCGGGAGGTGTTTGTCGAGATATGTCTTGTGTTTGTCATACCATTCCTCCTGCATGGCGGCGATCTCAGCTTCGAGCGTATCCCACGCGTGGAGAGTTGTCGGCCAGTCCTCCGTAAGACGGTCGACGATCTGGGACCGCACACTGGCAATCTCGTACTTGGTAGCCAGAGATAACACGGGCCGGACGAGAGAGGGGGTATTCGGGTCAAGGCGCTTGAGAGGGAGAGGTCTACAGGAAGCGTAGGAAAACATTGCCCACCAGTCAGTCAGCGAGAGCGCACGCACCGGTCGTGATAAATGTGCTTCAACAGCATCTCCAGCGCCTCTGCGCTATCAGGTATCCGGACTACTGGCACTCCCTCGCAGGTCTCATTTGCATCCGACGGGGGCAGGGTGAACATATCTGCGAATATCGGGGAGACCTTGCAAAGCATGGATCGGTGTATGCGGAAGCCAATTCCGTGTCCTTTCTTGTTTAAAGCGCAAAGAATGATGTTCCCGTCCGTAAGCCATAAAGACTCATGGTGCTCGAAATCCCGTGGCACCGCCTGTTGGTCGCCTTCAGGTTGCTGGTCAGAGTCATCGACCCTACGCCGTTTCAGGGGTTGAGGGCTGCTGTCCATAATCGGAGGAAGTAAGGGACGCAACAGTCGAGCTAGAGTTGACAATAAGCGGGAAAAGAGAGGGTCGTGCTTTCTTTATAGCAGGGGACAAAGGGCTTTGCGAGTCCGACGCGACCCGTCACGCGTTCCATTATGTACGTGACTTCGGCACGTGACCGCCCGCCTGTGGCGGTCAATTCTGCCACTTCGCGCGTCAAGCTTTTACTTGTCGATGTTCTTACATTATGATGGATGCAAGCTGGTGCCAAATATCCCATGCCACTGACATACTCACGAAAAATGCATCCCTTCCGAGTCCTGACGCATGCTCAGTGGGTGCATTTCAGCCGGAAAATAACCAGTGCCCAGCGGTCTGCTATCGTTCGTGCGTCCTCTTGCTCCATGGACAGCAGAACCTGAGTACTGTCAATTACCTTACTTATTGCAGTGCTATCTACATGCACTTACGGCGGAAGGTCTCCAACGCAGGATCGCTCACCGACGGTTAGCGCTTCACGTATCATGTGTCGGAGATTTCCGTCATGGATTATATCTCATTATAATTGGATTATATAGCGGAATCTGGGTCCGGTAATATAATCCATTCCTATTGAAGCGAGGAATGAGAATCTCGATTAGAATCTCGATTTTAATGCAATGAGGATCAGGCCAATGCTATGTTTATGAGATCAGGATGACGGGTCCCTCAGTAATAAGACAGACGGAGCGCCGAAATATTATGGCATGCCAATGCTCTAAAAATAATTGACGTGACATTACAACGGAGGCCATGTCAAATTAAGGAGTAGACAAAATAATTTACTATTCTATGGTTTCTACTTGTTAATCAAGGGCATCCCAGGAATCGAACCAGCGACCTAGAGTTATTAACGGAAGAAACTTATAATATAACAGACAATATAACCGTTCCGCCAGCGGAGCTATGGCTCGAAGGAAACTAAACGTAATATATTCGCTGTATAGCCCCCTAGGACTATAGATACCTTGTCTACAAGTTGCGACAAGGGCAATAGTGAGACG